AAAAAGATAAAATTTCATTTTTACAATTCCCGATACGTACTATTTAAAAGTCTGCAGGACAAGTGGCATTCAATTTAGCAGTTCCTATCCGAAAAGAATGTACCTCTTCATCAGAATTAATGCAAGTTGTGTTTACGTTATAATAAAACAAAAACAATATGAATATGGATGAAAAAGTGGACACGTTCGCAGTTTACTTTTTAGAGAATAAGTTGGCCATGAAGAGAATTCCATGAAGTGGAATTCCGTTGACAATTGCAGATACATAATATTAAAAGCTATGCAGCAGCAAGATCAGACTCATCTTCGAAATTCTGGAGTCACGGGTTCAAGTCCTGATACCATTTAATACTCCCGTACAAGGGTCGTCTAACAATATGCATGTCCCTTCTTTAAGTCGAGGTGGTGTGGAAAATTTGATAACGGAGTGTGAAAGCCCAAGGGTAAATCTCGCGAATTGATTTCGATTAAAAATTACGAGATACATCAACAAGCCCTTATTCAGTTTTTAAAAAGAATGCGATTGTGAATAAACTAATCAATCACAACATTTAAAAAGAATTTGCATCTGTTGTTAATACATCCTGTGACATAAAAATTGAAAATTTATTGATACAAATTGTTCTTCATCCTTTGAGATTAGCGTTGTACAAGAGAAGAAATGCGAAGTTTTGATAAATTCTTCTTATTTGCACTCTGTAATGGCGATGTATTTTAAAACTAATACCATTCCTAATTCCAGCGAACACCTCTTGCTAAAAACAAAGTGTTTAAAATTTGATTTCGAATTTTTATACAAACTTTTTTTTGAGACTTGCCCGAACTTTGATAATAAATTCGGTTATCATATGCATTAAAAATATATCTTGCTTCGAAAAAATGTCGATAAATTTCATTAATAGTTGTGAAATAAGAGTAACATATAAAAATTCAGTTGGTAATACAACTAATTATTGAAAGTTGATGGGGATAAAAAATACAACTTACATCTCAAACATTAAAAAGTCAATAAAAAAAAGAATTTGAACATCACTCGTAGGCAAATATAGTCACACTATTTATTTCAGTAGCATATGAGTTGTAAATAAGATATTTTTATTTCCTACGTGTTGCCAGTTTCATTAATTATTCTCAGATTTTAAAAAATAATGAATGAATTCTAAAATTTACAAATTTGTCTGTTTTCTAGAAAAGAATAATTGCTGGAATTTATGTGCGCATTGAAAAGAAGAACAATAGTAGGTCATCTGAATGTATTGACACGTTAAAATTTTAGGTTGAAGCTTAAAAAGTATATTTACGTCAAGAACTTTTTATTTGTTTGGACATTCCATTCAGGAAAATGTCGTGCAACCATTCTATTTCCCCTACTTTTTTTTCTTTTTCTAATATCTTGGAATAACATCAAACACTTGTTCTCAAATTCATTTTGCTCATTTATTTTGAAACTATTTCTAATGTAATAAATACTACAATTTGCTTGCCCATAAGACATAAATTTTCCACGAGGATTTTGATTTGATTTTACTTTTCGTTTTTGATCCTAATTATTATCGAACCACACAACCGTTCGATGGTTTGCTTACACTCCATTCTTTGGATTTGATTCGGTTAGAATTTACATCATATTCGGGATCAAAAGATCCATCGTAATCATATCGAAGAATTTACATCATATTTGGTATTCGGGATATTTGAAGCAGAACCACGGTCAAATGACGAGTTATGAGTTAGAATCACCAAACGTCCATTCCAGATAGTTTCAGCCTCGACACATTTAACGTGCAGCATCTCCCGTGCATGTCATGTCTTATATGTCAGAATGACTTCAGGCCAATCAAAGCGTGCGCGTCAGGAGAAGTAAAAATCATATAATGTATATATATATATATATATATATATATATATATATATAAATGCACTGAAAAAAATCAATACGATTATTTGTTAATTGTACGTATAAAAACTAAACTAAACTCAACCGCACATGAGAGTCAGTTTCCATGACCTTGGGCACTGAGATGCATTAGCAGATGTTCCAGTCAGGTGGTCAGTCTGACGTGAAAACACCAGTGTTTAATTCCCAAGCAATCTTTAATCCCATTTATTGAGCCACGGAAAGGATGAAAGACTGTGTCGACCTTCACATCCCTGGTTTGAACTCCAGACCTGCGGCATGGAAGTGAAATTCGCTACCACTCAGCCCTTGGGTTTCCATTTGTACACATAAATACACTAGCTAGAAAAAGTCTGCATTCATCCGTAACAAATTATACAGCAAAGATAAAATTTAATAGAAATATTATTTTTTCTCTAAAAAATTTTCATGAATTTGCTTAAAATTTTTTTTAAATAATGGAAACATAAAAAGGAATTCTTTTAATTTTTGAATTAAAACTATTTAAAGGTAACTGGATTTTTTGTAGCACAGAACAAAAAATAGAAATAGAAAAAAGTGTGCTTTGACAATTTGAATATTCTTGATACCTGGAATTTTTATCAACAGGCGTTATAGGTTGACAGAGATTTTGCATTCAATTACCACAAGTAAAATAGCTGAAGAAAGTTGTGACGCAATCAGTGGCGTAACGGAGAATACTGGGCCCCATTGCAAACTCAGGTCTTAGACCCCAAGCCCAAATACGTACTTTGCGTCACTCAAACTTTGGGACCCCCGCGGTGGTGTATGTTACGCCACTGGACGCAATAAATTCTACGTTTTTGGGAGATACGGAGCAATTTAAGAACATGGATTATATAAGGAAGGAAATTAGTATTGGGGACCATTCAATAATAGTGTGAAAATGTGAAACGATGAAAAACGTCGTCGGGATATAGCTAGATCCTTTGAACGGCCGTATTCATCTATCCAGCGTATTATTAGCAACTTTAAATCACAGGATTTTACACATCCAAAAACTTGCGTTCAGGTCGTCCATCTAAACTGAAAATTAGAGAAAAACAAAGTATTACATACTTGGTGAAAAAAAAAAAAAGTCTGTGTGTACTTATGTATGCACGTAAGAAGTTATACTTCTTTGGCGTAACAAGATTAAAATATTTATGAAAATATTTAGCTAGGTAGGCTGAGCCAAGGACGAAAGGCGGTCATGAGGAGTTGAACGATACTAACCTTTAGTCAATCGGACCAGCCAAACCTGAGATAATCACGATTTAACTAAGTTTAAACACCCGCACAGGGACAATAGGACCAATAACATGGGGGTTCCAGACTATATCTGCAGATGAAGTGAACCGAAAGTGATATCTGAGACCTCATATTGAATGACTCGGTGTGAAGAATCGTTTCTGAGAAAATTAAGACATCCGCCTGAAAAGCCTCCGAGTTATGGTCATTTTAAAATAATGAAAACATTTAAAACAATTAAATAAAATAGAAGCACGGCAACCAGCAACTCGAAACTGGGCCTGGGTGTGAGCAAACACAAGAGGAATCCATTAGAACTGGTCCGGAGTCTGTAGTTGCAAAAGGGGCGGCGTTAGCTTGGGAAAGGAAAGCGGAGTTAAATCCCCACGTAGGGTAACAACTGTGACGTAAATGGTCTCGTACATCCCAAAGATACACACAATAGTAGGTGATCTCAAAGTTTCCTCCTTCTATCGCTGTAATATCGTTACACATCAAAAGATCTAACCCCCATAAGAAAAACATGGCGATTCTAATTTTAGTGATAGCGCCCACCCCCTAAGCCCACTATCTACACATGAGTTATAACAGATGAAACAGCTCAACGAGGAGAACCTATGGTCCGAGTTTCTTTAACGAATCTCAAAAATCCTCGGAGCTATGCGGGATTTTAAAAAAATTATAACTATAATAATATTAAAATGTTAAATATGGGTAAGAGAGGAAATGGTGCTATGGTCCTTAAAAAATATGTCTAGGATGCTCATAAAAAGAACAATCGAATCCAGTAAGGGCGGTCGACTAAGGTGGCATAGGATTCGAGTTATTTCTGGGTAAGGAGGGAGGGCCCAATTCCACGTAAACTCGCGCTAATACGAAAATATGCCGGACCTCCAAAAATAAAGTTCCGAGCTCAATTCCTTAGGGAAGTGAAATTTTTTCAAGTCCCCATAGGATTAACATGGGAGCATGATATTTTATTGCTTAATTGCTTGCCCCATGCCTACACAATGGGAATGAAGCAAATGGCTGGATGAGTCTCAACACAAATGGAATACTTTGTTCAAAATCTCAAGTCCGAGGCTCGAACAGGAGCCAAGATATTGTGAATTTAAACAAATTTAAAAAGTTTAAGACAATTAAAAACTGCAGAAAAAATAGCCCTATGACCATGAAATTATAATAACTGGAAGTTTAGATAGAGAGGGATCGAATGACCCAAGTCCTAATAAACTGTGAGGCACGGGTGCCGAGATATTGGCCAAAAGGCTGTTGAGAGGGGAATGCACAGGGGGGATGCGTTCCAACAGATATGGCTTATAACAATAGTTATTATGATCCCCCAAATATCAGTCACATAGCACCAAAAAAGTGGCATGTTAAAATATTAGACAACGGTGTGTGCGCGCGCATCGATGTCGTGAAAGTATGCGCCCGCATCCGTGACGGTGTGAGCGTGCATCGTAAAAATTTACCCTCATCCTTTTTCCCTAACGACCAAAAAAAGGATAACTTCAAAAATAAATATACGAATACAAAAGGCTCTTATAATTTGCTACAATTTTAATAAATGTGTTTATGTTCATCGCAATGCGTTCGTAGTTACTACATCTATAATCATATACTTGCAATTGTTATTTAAATAGGTAAACTAATATTTACTCTTATGTTTTATGTACATGAGAGCACGAATTTAAGGTGGTACGCGAATTTTTTTAATTCGCTGTAAGTATGTTTCGTTTACTAGCCAAGTGTTCAAACAAATGCATCAGAGAAGCTCCATAGACGAAGGAAGATCTCCCCTACTAGTAGTGACGTCACAAATCAGCGCAAAGCAAAGGTTCACAGACACGGGGGTATAGCTCACATTGATAAAGCATTCGACTGCTAATCGAGAGGTCCCTGGTTCAAACCAAGGTGCCTCCTTCTTCAGGGAAGTGAAGAGAAATATTTTTTTGAGAATTTCGAAGGCGGGAATGATCTGTCCCATTCTGTATATTTCTAATCAAAGCATTTTCTCTCGTATCCGTTCCTAAAGAACGCAAAGCAAAGATTATCTGACGTGGGGGTATAGCTCAGTGGTATAGCATTCTACTGCAGATCGAGAGGTCTTCCGTTCAAACCCTGGTATCCTATTCTTCAGGAAAGTGTAAAGAAATGTTTTTTTTTAAATTTATTTATTTATTTATTTTTTTGAGAATTTCGAAGGCGGCAATGATCTGTTCCGTTCTGTATATTTCTAGATTAAGCATTTTCGTATCCGTTCCTACGGAACGCAAAGCCAATATTTATATTAAGCAGGGCTATAGCTCAGTGGTTGAGTATTCGACTGCTGATCGACAGGTCCTCAGTTCAAACTCAGGTGTCCCCTTCTTCAGGGAATTGAAGAGAAATATTTTTTTTTGAGAATTTCGAAGGCGGGAATGATCTATCCCATTCTGTATATTTCAAGACAAAGCATTTTCGTATGCGTTCCTATATTGAACGCAAAGCAGAAGTTCGCTGACACGAGAAGTATAGCTTAATGGTGAAGTATTCGACTGCAGATTGAGAGGTCTCCGGTTCAAACCAGGGTTTCCCCTTCTTCAGGGAAGTAAAGAGAGATATTTTACTGAGAATTTTGAAGGCAGCAATGATCTGTCCCGTTCTGTATATTTCTAAATAATGCAATTTCGCATCCGTGACGGTGTGCTTCACTTCCGTGACGGTTTTGCGTCACGTCCGTGACGGTGTGCGCGCGCATAGTAAAAATTCACCCACATCCTATTTCTCTAACGCCCCAAAAGAAGTATAACTTCAAAAATCCACGATTCAATGCAACTCAACTATCTACATACAGTCACGAGAAGTTAACCAAAAACATTTGTGGGGATACTGAAAAAAAATCTTGAAAAATGCCGGATAGAGTAGTCGAGTGGCTCACACAAAGTCATATTTTCAAAGGCAAACCAGTTGAAACGGATAGCTTTTGCAAAAGAGCATATGCATAAGCCTCCGGAGTTCTGGGGGAAATTCTCCGATGAGAGCAAATTTTGCATATTCGGCATAAAAGGTCGTAAATTAGTAAGGAGAAAAGCTTGCACGATGCTTCAAAAATATTTAGTACCAACGGTAAAGCAGGGCGGTGGTAGAATCATAGTGTGGGAATGTATGGCGAGTGATGTTGTTGGCAAGTTGGAGCATATTGAAGCAATTATGAACAAATATGATTACATTTATGCCCTAAAAATAATTTAAAGGAAACATCCACCAAAATCGGCCTAGGATCGTCATTTCGTTTCCAAAACGAAAACGATCCTAAGCATACCGCTGAGATTGCGAAGCTTTCGCTCTTGTATAAAGTCCCAAATCAACTATACACTCCACCGCACAGTCACCTGATTTGAATCCTATAGAACACCTATGGAAATTTCTGGAGCGTAAGATTCGTCAACACAATGTATTTACCAAGGATACGCTGAAGAGGGTTCTTAAGGGTTAATGGAAAATGTTAAATAGACTTGTTAATGCAATGAATATTCTTCGCCCCATCATGTTGTACGCTTCTCCCATCTGGGCAGGGGCGGCAGTTACTCACCTGAAAAGATTGCACACTTTTCAAAACATTCAACTGCGTAGAGCAGCAAACGCACCTTGGTTTGTCAGGAACGAAGTCTTGCATAAAGATCTTAATGTTCCATCGCTTCTTGATTTCATCAAAAAACAATCAGAAAATTTCTTCAACCGGTTACCACAGATTTCAAATGAATCCTATCAGGAAATCCCGGCTTACGACAATTCATATTCTAAGCTCTTCTAAGAGACCTAGAGCAGTTCTTAATCACTCGTATCAACACTTCCCAGCTTTGAGAAAGGATGAGAATGTCTTGATATGAATTAAAAAGATATGAGCTTTATTGTTACACTAGTTTCTTCTTTTTGCAAGACTCACTCACTCTAATTATTCCCCTCCCCGCCCATGGAAGTTTTTGATCGCGTTTTGTGTGCAACTTCACCCTCATGATCTTATTTCAAACTCCTCTACCTTTTCTTACTTTTTCTTCCAAGTGGTTATTTAAAACTTCCCTTTCAATAACCGCACGCAGTTATCTTAGAGTTAACGTGTAACGGACTTAAAAATATTATTCTCTTAATCCTTGTTATTAAAAATATATCCCTTCTCTCCTCGTTCCATCAAGATGCGACAGACGGTTGAAAGACGGGCTTTGCTGTCATGGAGATGTGACGTCATTTTCTCTTCGTTTTCCTATGAAAGCGAAACAGAAATTAAATCAACTGGGAGAGTGGTTTCCCACCCACCCCTCCACCAGCGTTATTGCGCTGCATTTAATGTGGACTGCTTTTATTTTTATATGTAACTTCAACAAATTGTTCTCTGTTCAATTTATTATGATGAGTGGATAATAGAGCTATCTCTAAGGTTCCACGTAAATGTATAACCGTTACCGTTACCGTTTATGCAATGAAGAAACGAATGCAGGAAGTTCTCAAAAGCGGAGTTATTCAACCAGCTATTAAATAGCTCACTAACCTTTTTAAACAATGTTTATAGTTATTACTAAAATAGTGAACGCAGACATTTTAAACTTGATTTTTGTTAGTATCGCTACAACACCTGTATTTATTTTTTAAAAGCTATGAAAGCAAACTGAATTTACTTTTGTTATTCTCAATACGTGAAATTAACTGCATTAAATATAATTTTAAAAAATTTTTAAATTCCAGTTTTGAAATTTTTTGAAGCTAAACTTCTTTTGGGGCGTTAGAGAAATAGGATGAGGGTAAATTTTTACGATGCGCGCGCACCTCGTCACGTATGTGACGCACACCGTCATTGATGTGAAAATGCTTTGTCTAGAAATATACAGAACGGGACAGATCATTCCCGCCTTCGAAATTCTCAGAAAAATATTTCTCTTCCCTTACCTGTAGAAGGGGACACCCAGGTTTGAACCGGAGACCTGTTGATCTGCAGTACCACTGAGCTATACACCCGCGTCAGCGAACCTTTGCTTTGCGTGCCGTAGGAACGGATACGAAAATGCTTTGTCTAGAAATATACAGCTTTGACCTGTAACTCGTTATACACCAATAAGGTGTACTTGTAATCGTTGCCAAACACTACGGATGGAGCATTGTGTGTGCCACGACGTGCTTTCCTTGCTAGTTTTAGCTCGCGCTTCTATCCGGACCCTAGGTGGACGCAGTCGAGAACCTCTATGGATGTGCCCGTGTTGCTCGAGACGGCGGGAGCTGCGTGCGCATCACCTCCCCGAAGCACTTGGCCCCTTTGGCAATCCAGCGTCGAGACAGGGTGAGGTGGTGAGTGAATGTTGGGTTTACTGGCGCAAGAGCCATTTTTGGCTAAACTGCGCCAAACATTCGTAAAAGCATTAAAAGTATAAAATCATCAAAAAGTTTAATTAAATTTCAATTTAAAAAAAAGGGTGAAATCTCATATTTTATGTATAAAAATCATTTTCAATAAAATTAAAAATACAGAAATAAGTGAGGGAAATCCCCAAGAAGTCCAATAAATATTGTAAAAAAGTTATCTTCTGCTTCTGGTTGGTGTTAAAAGCAATGTGATCCTCTGAAATATGTTTTCCCATCTTTTCTCACATAATCAGGGTTCGATTCGAATTCATTTTTCTCCACGTTGTATACAATCATATCCTCTTCATTAGTACTATATTCAACTGGAGCTGGCTTTCTAGGTCTGTGTTGAGTCCTTTTTATGTCAATTATATATTTAAGCAATTCTTTTTTTCTTTTTCTATCCCAAGTTTTTGATTTTTTTTTTTCGAATTCTCTGTGTTGTAGATGCAGAAGGGGGTTGAATACTTGAGTTGGATGAGGAAGCGGATATGATTGATGAAGATGGTTCTATAGGCGTGAACATATTACTGGAGGGGGAAAGTAGGGTATCAGACACAGGAATAGGGGGTGGAGGCTCCGATACTGTAGCTGCTATTGAAGTTGTGGAAGGCAAGAGGTCTGCCTGAGTGGTAGATGACAATGTGGAAACTGAAGGAATTGAAGGAGATGTATTTGGCTGCGGTACGGATAATAAAGGTTGAAGTAATTGCAAAGGCGGACATTTGATTTTTGTAATATTTTCATCCGTTTCTGTTGTACTGGTAACAGTTGAGGATTTGGCAACTTGGGCGTACGTTTGGGATAACTGCGGTGCTATTATTTTCGGGCTTCAAGGTATGATATATTTCTATTGGTTTTAATGGCTTGAATTTCTTTTTCAGTTTTCCATTTAGGACACAGTTTTGTGTCATAGGAATGAGGCTGTAAACAATTAACGCATTTGGGATCTAGGTACAATCTGTAGAAGAATACCCTACAGTTGCACACCTAGAGCATGTTAGTTGGCCTCGGCATGAAGTTTGCGAATGTCCGAACATCTGGCAGTTAAAGCAGCGCAGAGGATTCGGAATGTATGGACGAATTTTGCAATTAGGGTAACCGACTTTTATTGTGGTCGGGAGTTTAGGGATATTGAATATCAAAATTATGTGTTTAGTTGGAATATAGGCAGCATCTTTTAAAGTATTCTTCGACGCGAACACACCTGGTCAAAATCCCTCAGGATCTCAGCATCAGAAGTGCACAACAGGTCAGGTTCGGAAATGACACCTCGACAGGAATTCAAAGATTTATGAGGGGTAACTAGAAGGATAGAGTCTAGAAATGTTTTTGCAGATAGATAAGATTTTGACTCTACATGTAAATCACCTGATCGCATTTTCTTAACGAATTTTGGCTCGCCTATAATTTGGAGAGCTTTGAAAATTGCAAAAGGCGATTTTTCAGACATTTCATTGTTAGGCAGTGATAGTATAAAAAAAGTGCAGTACTGGCAGTCTGTTCAATGTTGAGAGTAGTGGGTAAAACAAAACCTTTACCCAGGCACAGCATCATTGGATCCATAAACGTGAAAAAAAACCTTCATCCTGACGTGCCTCCACCCACCACGGAGTCTAACAAGGAAGGCAGTATGCCGATCATCTGGCCAAAAACCAGGCATGGCGCTTACCTGGAGTACACCCAGAATATAGTGATACAGCATCAAGGGGAGGATCCAGCGGGTAAACCCGACACCCCTTATCTCTGCAGCACTAACCCTACAGCAGTGTCTCTTCGGGGACACCGAAGAGAGGTATCAGCAGCCGATTGACAGGAGCTTACTGCTGCCACCCGTCTGGGCCAAAGGAAACGCAAAGGATCCCCAGAACACCATTTTCCTCCTTACGGGATGCTACACACGGCAATCATGCAGGTTGGCTAACCAACGGTGTTAATCGAACACAAATAAAGCAACATAATCAAAATATTGAAAGAGAAATCTAAGAAAAAGAAACTAAACTAAAACGCAATAGAAAATGTAAACTATAATATGTTAGTAATAAAACCTAAGTTTTCTCAATAGAAAAAACTAATAATTGAACTAGTAAATTTTAAAATATTTGTCTGTGGTCTAGACGGGAAGAGTAAAAAAGATGAAATTGTACGACAAGAAAGAGGGTCGAAAATAGAGAAGAATCACTAGGAAACCCCGGGTTCGTGAAGCCCGTGTTACCAAAGATATTAAACTCCTTGAGAAAATAGGAAAATATCACTAGGGCACCTCGAGATTGTGACACCCGTACTCACCTAAAGAAGGTGAGTCCCTGAGGGGGAGCGTCGAGCCAGGGGTGGGTCTATTAATCTAGAAGAGGACAGTGAAGGCCGTTCTGTCGAACGATACCTGGTTGATCCTGCCAGTATCATATGCTTGTCTAAATGATTAAGCCATGCACGTCTCAGTACATGCCAACCTTTATAGGGCCAAAACCGCAAATGACTCATTAAATCAGTCACGGTTCATTGGATCGTGACGCGTTACTTGGATAACTGTGGCAATTCTACAACTAATACATGCAGCCGAGCTCCAACGCCCTGATGGGAAGACGAGCGCTTTTATTAGATTCTACCCAGGCCTCTATAGACCGAGAACATGAACGAAACTAATTAATTTTGCTGATCGCACAGGCCACTCCCGGAGACGTATCTTTCAAGTGTCTGCCTTATCAACTGTCGACGGTAGGTTTTGTGCCTACCATGTTCACCACGGATGGCGGGAAAACAGGGCTCGATTCCGGAGAGAGAGCCTGAGAAACGGCTACCACATCTAAGGAAGGCAGCAGACAAGCAAATTACCCAATCCTGGCTCGGGGAGGTAGTGACGAAAAATAACGACGCTGGATTCTTCCAGACCCAGTCGTTGGAATGAGTACGCTCTCTAAGCCCTCTAACGAGGACTTACTGGAGGGCAAGACTAATACCAGCCTTTGCGGTAATTTTAGCTCCAGTGGCGTATACTAAAATTGTTGCAGTTAAAAAGCTCGTAGTTGGACATCTGCTCTGTATGTAATGGGCCGCTCGCGCGGTCACCCATTCACTCCCGGCATTCTTGCCGCCGCCTCGGGATTGATTTAACCGGTCGGCTCCGAGTGGATGGCAATGATCGCTTTGCAAAAATTACAGTGCTCAAAGCAGGCACACACGCTCGAATAGTAATGCACGGAACAATAAAACACGATCTCGGCTTTGAGTTTGTTAGGTTGATGGAGACCGAGGTAATGATTAATAGGAGTAGACGGGGGCATGCGTATTCCGACGCTAAAGGGGAAATTCTTGGACCGTCGGAAGACGACCCACTGCGAAAGCATTTGCTGAAAGATTAGATACCTTTGTAGTTCTGAACCCCTAAACCAGGGGTACTCAACCTTTTTTTCTGCTGGGCCGCATACATATGTCAGCTATTTCACGCGGGCCGCAACAGAGGATATATGGGGAGATGGGGAGAAAAATGCTTTAAGACCAAGAAAATATTAGAAATTTAAAATGTACCAAATTGGTTAAAATATTATAAATCCTGTTTTGCTTTTGTTAATTATTATTTTTTATATTTTTTATTTTTGTCACTAACACTAAATTAGAAGATTTAAGAAACACTCTTCACAATATCTGCTTCAGTAAATGGTTTCATATGATTAATAATAATATAACAAGCTTCATATAATGTCTTTGTTACCGCTGTGACATTACCACTGACAAAACACTTTGTTGCTGTTTCGAAGATTATTCAAGAAAACCTATTTATGATTTCTTGAAAGAGATCTTCGAGGAAAAGTGTCATTAAATGACTCCTGTTTATTGGTATTTTTTAAATACAGCCCTTTCGTGACAAATCAAACAATAACTGATCCATGTTTCTTTTTCTCTGCAAAATATCCATTGTTCGTCTTTTATTCACCTTCAATAGAAATTGCAATTCGAAATGACGTCACGTAACACTTTGGTGACCCCTGGGGCCCCTAGTTGCACCATCGCTTAAAACATTTAGTCCAGAGTTCTACTACTTATCATCGGTTCAATATTCAAAAGGATATTCGCGTAAGTTTCGGAGTAAACAGACCCCATAATTTAAGGCGCCGCAAATGGGTGCCTCCATTTTAAGCTAGAACTTAGAAGCGAATATCATTTTGAAGTACTCAACGAGACCTTTCCGAAAATTAAAAATATTTTAAATACTCTGAAAAGTTCGGGAGTAATTCGCATTCGGAAAAAGTGGGAAAAAGTTCGGAAAAAGTTTTTCTCTAGTCACAGGGGGCTTCTATTGGACCGAGAGCTATGAAAACCGAATCGTTATCTCACCATGACGGTATCTACAAACGATATGTTTTTCGTCCGAAAACTCCCATAAACTCCCGAGTTGCCGGACCTCCCTGAGGCCCCTCGTCCTTCTGAGTGGCCCGCTTTCGAGACCGGAACTCAAAATTTTATATATTCTTCATGTACTCGCCGAGAACTTTCCGAATCTGTATCGTTTTCGTCAATCCTTTTAATAGTTTAGGAATTACGGGCCCCGAAATGTTAAAAAAAATACTCTCGAAATTTTTTCAAAGTCCCCTTAAAAAAATGCGTGTTTTTTGAATAACTTCCTCCCTGATCGTGCTTTTTCATGAAAACATAGTTCTATGTTCATTAGACAACTAACATGAATTCGAGTTTCGATTTCGGAAATTTCCGTAACTTTTCGATCTAGGGCCCTATCTCAATGCTTTCGGGATATGGGACCCACGGGACCCTACTTGCACCAAGGCTTAGAATTTTATATATTCGTGTTTTACTGGACGAGACCTTTCCAATGATGTATAGCTTTGGTGGATATTCGAAAATTTTTGGGGGATCCAAAATTGCACTATCAATTAGCATATTGAGTCGAAAGTTCCCCTAAATGGGTTTTATGCTCGGCTCTTTTCATGAGAGAAAATTCGCGTAAGTTTCGGAGTTAAGGGGCGAATTCATAAAGGGATTTTTGCCCGCGGGGGCCACCGTTAGGGCTAAATCTCAGACTTTTATACTTTTTTGCTGTGCTCGACGAGACCTTTCTGAAAATGTACAGCCTTTTTACATTGTCCAAAGAGTTCAAAAGTTATTTGCAAAAAAACCATTTTTAAGGTAAGTTCTGACTTGTGGGATTTACCTTTTACCTCTAACACGATGTAGGCAAATCGGGCGTACTTGTAGTCGTTGTCAATACACAACGGATGGAACGGATAATTGCTCGAGATCGATGACGTGTCGAATGACGTCATTCCTTATTGACTTAAGCTAAAAAATTGGATTTTATAGGGTTCTTTTCGACTTTGGGATTTAGGGGAAAATGCGTAAATTTTTATTTTTTTCATTTCTTTCGATACCTCTCGAAAAAAAAAAATCTAATAACGAAAACTAACAAAGACCTGGACATTCCTAAAAAAATAAGTGCTTTCCATGAAAAAAAGTTTGAAATGTTATTTTTTATTCCTTTTCATGACTTCGACGAACTTTCGAAATTTTAGCATAAAAACGTTCTGTTTTCTCCACACACAATAACTTTTACAAAAATTTAATTTAATTAAGTAAATTTTAAAAATAATGAAAGACTTTTATATATAAAATTTCTCACTGAAAGAGGGACCGTTTGTTAAAATCCTTAGCAAACTTTTTTTTATGAATTTTTGAAACTTTGATGTTTATCCAAATCAAGTAAAAAACAATTATTTTTTTAAATAACCTTTGTAAATAGGCCCCTATTTTGATAAAATTGGATTTAAAAGAAAGAATTACCACGTAAAATGTTCTTTTTCCTCACGTAACTCTTTTAAAAATAAATGCATTTGAAAATAATTTAATGAAAAATGATGAGCGTGCGATTCATCACAAAACTAGGTTCTGTTATTTACGATACATTGGAAACCTTCACTTTTATTGACTTTTCAGTGATTGGCCATTTTTCCACATTCCTCGGAAAAACGATTTTTTTTTATTCTCGTAACTTTTGCAATACTTCATTCGGGAATGAAAATATTATGCAGGAAGAACTCAAAATTCCTCAGAAAATGAAAAGTCTTTTTAAAAAATGTCGGTAACCTTTTTTTTATTTTTGAAACTTTGAAAATTGGGGGAAAAAACCCATTATTCCTTTTGCTCTTGGGGGCCCCCAGCCTGCGTCTCAGAGCTTTGAAATATTATTCCAAAGTTGCTTTTTACACGTTCTATCGGAGGATTTATTTTCGCTTGGATATTGGAATAAGTTTCGGAGTTACGGAGCCATGAAATTTTACGGTCCCCACCCCGCAGGGGCCACCCTCGGGGCCTAGAACTAAGAGTTTCATTGCACTTTGAAGAACTCAACAACACCTTTCCAAAAATGTATAGCATTTTTAGATAGTGTTAACAGTTCGTGTGCGTTATTCGTCTTCAAAAGAAATTGCGATTCGAAATGAAGTCACGTGACATTTAAGGGCTGTCGTAGCTCCAAAATGCGTGATCGCTTTGAAGATTTAGAAAATAGTTTCTCTAATCAGGTTCTATCACAAGTTCGGATTTCAAGAAAATATTCGCGAAAGTTTCGCAGTTACGGGGCCCTGTAATAAAAGTGGGATCACCCCACGGAGGGCCTCCCTCAAGGTCTGGAAATTTTTAAAGTATTGCACTTTAAAAACTCGACAGGACCTTTCCGAAAATGTATGTCATTTGTAAACATTTTTAACAGTTTGGGAGCTATAAGCTTTTGAAAAACGTAAAAAAAAATGAAAACTCTGATATTCTGCGGATCGCAGGGGGCCCCTTAATTGACCGAGAGCTTTGAAAATTGAATCGAGAGCTGACTTCAACGGGAGCTACCAGTGGACTTTTTTCAATCGAAAACTCTTGTAAACTCCCGAGTTGCCGAACCCCTGTCGCCTCTCGGCCGATTAGGTATCCACCTTCTGGGGGCAGCTTTAGAGACCGGAACATAAAATGTTATATATTCTTGATGTACTTGACGAGACGTTTTGCAATCTGTATTGCTTTCGCAGATCTGTAAATTAGTTTAGAAATTACATGCCTCGTAAAATTTACAAAAAAATTAAAAATGACCCCATAAAAAAAATGCTTTTTTTCGAATAACTTCTTCCAGAAAAGTGGTTTTTTCATGAAAACACGGTCTTAGGTTCAATAGAGGGCACTCAAATCGATTCTAGGGTCGATTTCGGAAATTCCCTTAATTTTTTTATTGCATTTTTTTTTTTTCTTTCTCATCTTAGTGGGCCCCGGGGTCCCAAATTGCACCATTGCTTTGACAATGGAGACCAAAGTTTCTCTGTGTACTATCAGAGATTGAAATTTCAGAAGGATATTCGAATAAATTTTGGAGTTAAGAGGCCCCGTAATTTTAGGGTCTCCGCCCAGCGGAGGGCTACCCTCGGTGTCTATTGCACTTTTAAGAACTCAATAAGACTTTAAGAAAGACGAAAGACGAAAGACGAAGTGCATAAGACGAAAGTGCATAATAAGACGAAAATGCATAAGCTTTGTAGATAGTGCTAATAGTTCAATTTTTTACTCGCCTTCAAAAGAAATTGCGATTCGAAAAGATGTCACATGATACTTTGGGGCCCCTGCGGCCCCAATTACGCCATTGCTTTGAAAACTGAGATCAAATTTTCTGTATGAGAATTTTATCATAGGTTAATATTTCAAGAGGATAGTCGAATAATTTTTGGAATAAAATGGCCCGGTAATTTTAGAGGCCCCCTCCTTTCGCGCCTCCATCAGGGCCTAGAACTTAGAGAATTATTGCACTTTGAAGATTTCAACAAGATCTTTCGAAAATGTATAGCTTATTTAAACATTTTGAACAGTTCGGGAGTTATAAGCGTTTGAAAAAACGTTAAAAAAAAAATGAAAACACCGATTTTCCGAGGGTCGCAGGGGCCCCCTAATTGACCGAGAGCTTTGAAAATCGAATCGTGTGCTCACCTCAAAAGGACCTACGAGTGATAATTTTTTTGAGCAATAAATCCCCTAAACTGCCGAGTTGCTGGACCCACTGTCGTCCCTCGTTCATTTAGGAACACCCTCCTGGGGTCCCATTTTTGGTACTGTAACTTAAAATTTTATATATTCTTCATGTACTCAACTAGACCGTTCCGAAAATACATAATTATTTTTGATCGATAAAAAAGTTTAGGAATTATGGAACCCGAAATATTTTTAAAGAAACGTTTTATTTCCACTCGAAATTCTTTCAATGTCCCATAAAAAAAGCGTTTTTCAAATAACTTCCTCTCGGCTCATGATTTTTTCACGAACACTTGGTCTTAGGCTCATTGGAGGACGACGAACCCGAATTTGAGGCTCGATATTGGAAATTCTCTTTACTTTTCGAGTTAGTGCCCTTTT